TAATTACACTTTTGCCTTAGTTGTTACAAAGGAGTGAGGTTAGTGTATTTAAAATGGATAAATGTAGTATAAAAATATTGTTACTATGCCCATGTTTTGTTGACCGGATACAAATGTTTATCATCCAAAGATAGCTGTGGGCACAKGTCTCTGCTACTGTTATTTTTGTGGATCAAAAGCTGAAAAGTTTGGGAACCACTGTACTTTGGTTCCCAAAGTTGGGCTTGGGACCCAATTATGGGTCATGAAGCACCTTGGATAATCTCCAGAAATCAATTTAAAGGGTAATAAAATAATTGCTGATGTAATATTTTCCCTATAACTATCACAAAAACACAAAATAAGTATAAATAAGTATTTATATTTGTGCATAAGCTGTTTAGATTGTCAAAAAGCCTGTGTTTTTAGGGTTATTAACGAAGTTCGTGTACTCAGACCAGTAATATTTGGGGTCACAAGTTTTTGCCATGAATATTTTGTGGGTCAGAAGATAAAAAGTTTGGGAACCACTGACTTAGAGGGTTTGTTGGATCTTTTCCCGGTTTAACAGCGACGATCTGACAGTCAGGATGCCTTATAAAGCCCCAGTGGCTCATTAGGAGAATCTTCCTCAGGTGTGCTGAGGTGCAGGAAACAATGAGGCAGCCAATCAAACAAGAACACCAAAAAGCCAATCATAACAAATCCTTTGGAAAGTTTAGACCGCTCTTTGACTGTATGTTTCAAAAACATACAGTCAACAGTTAAAAGTTGTGACACATTTTGAAACTGTATGCTCCTGGTAAGTCCCTCTATAACAGGAAGCATAAAGACAACCTCTGAACAGAGTTTGTCTTGAAATCTGATTGATTTATTAATGGTGTCTGAGAAATMTCAGGCACTGTTGTCTGTTTGATACTGTCACAAAAAATATAACTGTAAATTACAGAAAATTCACATTTTTAGAACTGCTGTTATTTGACAAATTTGCAACATCATCAAAAAGAGAATATTCAACTAACATTTTAGGGGTAAAGTTATTATCTCCACTCATCTTACAATATATCAGAACTATAAAAAAAATCTTTAACTTCCCCTCTCAACAACCCGAGGGTTCACACTTTGGGTGTTAGAAATGTCTCCTCAGAGTGAGATGTCAGAACATGACAACAGTCATGACAGCACAAAGAGATCTAAATTTAGATCAAATCTACAGTCACCTGCTGGAGAACACAAAGTCTGTCAAATAAAGCAACTTTCACACAAATCTATTCTAGTTCCAGATTGTGCTGCGGTCTAACAGGAATGACCAAATAAAGTGAACCCTTTTGAAAAGAGCTGTAGCTGTAACTAGAAGATGTTTTAGAGGAGGGCACCATCTTCAACATAATTACCTCGGTGAGTCACTTCCTATTAACTTCTTCATTCCTCTGCATACACCAGAGTGCACCAAGTTCAAAACTTTCTCAAACAAGAAGTTAAAAAAGGTCGGTCAGTTTATTGAATGTATCCATTATTGTTAAATCAGCAAATTTAATGATAATGGCACACAAGCATGTTTCTAAAGGCAGCTTTTGATACTTTTTCAGGAAAAAAAACACTTGTTTTCACTTCTCTAGTCTCAGTAACTATCAGGTGTTT